ATCTTGCTGGAACCTCGCCCCTACACAGACACACCTAAGCCTCCCCCTCCCCGGCTTCTCTGCTGCCCCTGTGTACCTGCAGGGATCCCCCAGAGGCTGGGACCCGGGTGCAGACAGGTGTTCCTGTATACCTCCAGTATACAGCGGCTTCACCCATCTCTGTCTCCTGCCCCCGGAAAAGGCCCTCTGCTCTGAACCAGAAACCTAGGGGTCGTCCCCAGCTTGCCGCTAGCTTAGGTCAGCGGCAGTCCAGTCTCGCCTGGACCTGTGTCCCAGCCTGCTCTCTGCTGCCAGCCTCACTCCTGCAACCCCAGCCACTGGAGCAACACCTCTGTGCTCTAACTCGGTCCCCGCCCACCTGTCCCTTCCTCCTCCTCTCTGGCGCCCCCAGGACTGTCCCCCGGGCTCCCAGGACTTCAGGGAAATGCAGTGCTCCGAATTTGACAGCGTTCCTTTCCGTGGAAAATTCTACACGTGGAAAACCTACCGAGGGGGTGAGAGGGGACGCTGGGGGCGTGTCCGGCAGCAAGTGGATGGACGCAGCCCGGGGCCGGAGCACCCAGGGTGCCTCCACTGAACACTGGGCCCCCCTGGTTCTGTTGGGTCTGGGGTCTGTTCGTTTGGGCCTCACCTCCCCCAGGGAGCAAGCACAGCGTCCCAGGGGGGCTGGCCTGGGTCTGACGGGGCCGTGCCCCCCAGGGGGCGTGAAGGCCTGCTCGCTCACGTGCCTCGCAGAAGGCTTCAACTTCTACACTGAGAGGGCAGCGGCTGTCGTGGACGGGACACCCTGCCGGCCGGACACGGTGGACATCTGTGTCAGCGGCGAGTGCAAGGTGGGAGGGACCTCCGCGGGGGCGGGGTGGGGGTTTGGGCGGGGGCGGGGTGTGAGGGCACCCCTACCATGCGCTCTGCACACAGCACGTGGGCTGCGACCGGGTCCTGGGCTCGGACCTGCGAGAAGATAAATGCCGAGTGTGCGGGGGCGACGGCAGCGCCTGCGAGACCATCGAGGGCGTCTTCAGCGCAGCCTCACCTGGGGCCGGTGAGCACCCCTCACTTCCGCCCCAGGCAGCTGGGGGCGGGGCCAAGGCCAGCAACTTCTCAGACTCCACCCAAAAAGTGCCCCAACCCGGGATCAGGAAGGGTCTCAGCAAACCTTGGCAGTCGGTGGCTCAGGGGATGAGAACCCAAATCTCCCCCCTCTGCGGGTGGGGGCCTCATGCTGGCTCTCAGTGGGGGTGGGGGGGTCCCTGGCCATCATCCGTGGGACAGATCAGGAAACCCAGGAACTCCTCAGAAGGTGGAAGCACTTCGGAGGGAAGGAGAGGGCTGAGGGCTCTGTCCAGTCTGCAGGAACCACTGGCGGGCCCCCCTGGAGCGAGTTGCAGAGTGGGCGTTGTTCCCTGGTTTTGTAAGGGGCAGCCAGTGATGGGCCAGTCAGGGCTTCTGGGGGCAGGAGAGGGAGGGAAGGAGGAGCCCACACCGACATGCAGATGACTGCTGTCCCCAAGGCGAGGACTGTTAGAGCAGGAAAGGTGTCGGGGACACAGGAGCCCAAAAGACATGGCAGTGATGTGCAGGGGTGGGGGATGGAGAGGGACACCGAGGATCCCTTGGCCTGGGCACACCTGACCCCTGGGGGCTGCAGCACCAAATGACCCCTTCCCCGAGAAGCCAGGCCAAGGGATGCGTGGGACCCAACAGGGGCCGGTGTGGGGACGTGGCCAGATCAGCCAGGATGCCTGGGCACAGGTGGTCGGCCTATGTGGCTGGGGGCCCTGGGGCGCCCCCTTCCCCTCTGTCCAGGCCCGACCCTGCTGCTTACAGGAGGATGAAGGAGGGTGCATCCAGTCACTTGTGGTGGTCAGGAAGACAGGAAAGTTTGAGTTCGAATCCCAGCCTAGGCCTCTTCCCTGAGGGAAGCTGACTTCCCGGAGCCTCAGTTTTGGCATCTGTAAAATGGGAGTGATGATAGGTGTCTTTCACAGGGTGCAGTGGGATGTCCCTGTAGCATGGGAACAGTTGGTTAGCTGTGACCACTGGGGACCAAGAATGGGGGAGGGGGGACTGTGAATGCAAGGGATGGGTGACAGCTGAGCGCCACCGTCCAGGGTACGAGGACGTCGTGTGGATCCCCAAAGGCTCCGTCCACATCTTCATCCAGGACCTGAACCTGTCCCTCAGTCACCTGGGTGAGCAGAGGCTGGGGGAGGAGGAGGAGGGGATCTGGGAGTGGGTGTGGCTCGAGTTCTGACTCCTGCACTGTCTCCAGCCCTAAAGGGTGATCAGGAGTCCCTGCTGCTGGAGGGGCTGCCAGGGACCCCCCAGCCTCACCGCCTGCCCCTGGCCGGGACCACCTTCCAGCTGCGGCAGGGGCCCGACCAGACGCAGAGCCTGGAAGCCCTGGGACCCATTAACGCCTCTCTCATCGTCATGGTAACCACGGGGCTGGGGGCGCGAGGCAGGTGGACATCTGCCTCCGGTAGGGAATCCAGATTCTTCGTTGTGAACGTGACTTGCGGCCGCTCCCCCACCGCCCACTGCAGGTGCTGGCCCGGACAGAGCTGCCTGCTCTCCGCTACCGCTTCAACGCCCCTATCTCCCGCGACGCGCTGCCGCCTTACTCCTGGCACTATGCGCCCTGGACCAAGTGCTCCGCCCAGTGCGCGGGCGGTGAGGCCCGGGCGGGGCTGGGGGCGGGCTCCAGGCTCTCTCTGCCCCCACATCACAGGGTCGTGGTTCCCGGGGATGCACGGGGCTGAGCGGGCCCCTCTGCTCCCCTAGGCAGCCAGGTGCAGGCCGTGGAGTGCCGCAATCAGCTGGACAGCTCGGCAGTGGCCCCGCACCACTGCAGCGCCCACAGCAAGCTGCCCAAGAGGCAACGCGCCTGCAACACGGAGCCCTGCCCGCCGGAGTGAGTGCCTCCAGGATGGGGCGGGATGCCCGGGTTGCGGTGACGCTGGTGCCCATGAGAAGGAGGGGAGAGGATGGTGCGGGAGGCAGGGTGACGGTGCTCCCCTGCCCTCCTGGCCTGGCCCAGCCCAGCCTTCCGTAGGTGCGGGTGGTGACCAGCAGATGGATGGGGGTCCCCTGGCCTGCGCACCCGCTCACCCCCCGCGTGCCCCCCGCAGCTGGGTCGTGGGGAACTGGTCACGCTGTAGCCGCAGCTGCGATGCGGGCGTGCGCAGCCGCTCCGTAGTGTGCCAGCGCCGTGTGTCGGCGGCCGAGGAGAAGGCGCTGGACGACAGCGCCTGCCCGCAGCCGCGTCCGCCGGTGCTGGAGGCCTGTCACGGCCCTGCGTGCCCTCCGGAGTGGGCAGCCCTCGACTGGTCTGAGGTCAGCCCGCCCACTATGCTCCCTGGGTGGGGGCAGAACCTGGAATGACCCGGTTGGGGGAGGGGAGAGAGGGGTCCTGTGCTTTGGACCCTTCCCCTCCTCCTGCTGAGCCCCAAATGCCCTCTCCCACTGCAGTGCACCCCCAGCTGCGGGCCTGGCCTCCGTCACCGCGTGGTACTTTGCAAGAGCGCAGACCACCGAGCCACACTACCCCCTGCACACTGCCCGCCCGCCGCCAAGCCGCCTGCCACTATGCGCTGCAACTTGCGCCGCTGCCCCCCAGCCCGCTGGGTTGCCGGCGAGTGGGGCGAGGTATGCAGAGGCACCCCAGGGGTGGGGGCCCTCTGCTGGACGCCTGAGCTCAGCGCCCCCTTCCCACAGTGCTCTGCGCAGTGCGGCTTCGGGCAGCAGCAGCGCTCTGTGCGCTGCACCAGCCACACCGGCCAGCCGTCGCGTGAGTGCCCCGAGGCCCTGCGGCCGCCCGCCACACAACAGTGTGAGGCCAAGTGTGACAGCGCGCCCCCTGGGGACGGCCCTGAAGGTACGTGGGCAACAGAACGAGGGGATGAGCCACCAGGAAGACCACAGAGGGCATGGGGCTTCCTGATCATAGTCCCAGAGCCAAAGAAACAAAAAACTTTGCATCCAAGCATTTATTAAGGCATTTATTTCAGGCACCTGGGAGCCTCCATGAACTTTGCCCACCTGTGCCATTGTGTGCCTCACATTGATTTCCCCTCCTTTCCTCCCCCCACCCCCGCCCCCAGAGTGCAAGGACGTGAACAAGGTCGCCTACTGCCCCCTGGTGCTCAAATTTCAGTTCTGCAGCCGAGCCTACTTCCGCCAGATGTGCTGCAAAACTTGCCACGGCCGCTAGGGGGAGCGCGGCACCCGGAGCCACAGCTGGGGAGACCCGGCTGCAGCCTGCTCCCCCTCCCCCACCGAGGGAGCCCCAGGGGGCGGGGAGCTGGGAATGGAGGGTGAGATGCAACCGGAAGTTATTTATTGGGAATCCCTGCAGGGCCCCTGGCTAGGGGATGGAGAAGGGCTGGTGACCTCCACCCTCCCAGGGCCCCTCTTCAGCCCCTCTGTCAGTTCACATAGTGAGACCCCCTGCCCCCAACTCCAGAGTAGGCCTGGGGAGAAGGCACAGTGTTCAGCCCAGTGCCTTCTGCACCCACCTTTGGGAACGCCAGTGTTCCCCACTCCCCCTGTGATCGGAATACGTACTGTGAAGAGCGGGGGTGGGGAGGGGTCTGCAGGTGCCCTGCCCCCAGCACTGCCTGACCTGGGGTGAGGCGGCGGGACAGGTCTGCGCCCCCTGCAGGGGAATTACTACAGCTGCCCTTGAGCTGAGCGGTGGGGGGAGATCGGCCCCAGCCCCTGCCCTGCGTGCCCAGGGAGGACCCCACCATCCAGGCCGCCCCGTCATGGTGCTAACAGGCCCTGCCCTGGGGCCCACACCCTCCTTGCCAGGAAGCCCTACTTCAATAAAGTCCTGTCTTGTGTAGATGTCCGCGTGTGGCTGTGTGTCTAGGGCAGCCTCTGCAGAGAGCAGGGGGCTTCTACCCACGCTGACCCGGGACCTGCCCAGGCCCGGGGCCTTCCTGCGCCTGGCTCTCACCACCGAGGTTTGCCAGGTTGACTCAGCAAAGTGAAGGAGCTTGACAGAGACACGGGCTCCTTCCGAAGCAGCCGCTAGGGGGCGCCATGCCCGGCCACCCTCAAGGAGGATGCCCCGCCAGGCAGAGACAAAGACCACTCACGGGCATGGACCAGAGGCCGGTGCCCACTTGGGTCAAGCGCTGCCTTACATGGCTGGAGGAGGACGCGGTGTGTCGGTGTCTCCAAGATCAGGACGCGTTAACACAAGGGATCCCACCCAGAAGGGCTCTTGAGAAAGATGGGGAGACCAAGATGTCCCGGGGGTGGGTAGCACAGCAAAGGTGGTGGTGGTAAATCCAGAGCTGACATCCAAAGCTTGGGTCAGCCGCACCTGACTCCTGGTCCCCTCCCCCTTCGCGGGCGCAACCACACCCAGACAGGCGTGGCTGCCCTGGGTGGCTGTGCGGGGAGGGCTGGCAGAGGTGGCTCTAGAAGAGGGAGGTCGCCTGGGGGGCTCCCAGGGCGAACGTCTGAAACCCTGCTTCCCAGTTTTGAGGAGACCTGAGCAGGTCGGTCCACAGCCAGCTGACCTGAGGCCCTTGGCTGCAGCTCTTGTCCCTGGGGAGCCGGAGGAGGGACGTCCTGGGGGCTGTCAGCCTGGGGCCCCAGCTCTGTGGGCCCTGCCTGCCACCTCTGAGGCTCTCCCCGCCCCCAGGGCCAGGGCCCCTCCCGTCAAAGGAAGTGAGAGGGGGACCGCCACGGTAAGAGGAACTAGGGCTGGGAGCGGAGTGAAGGAGCGGGAGGAAGGCCATGCCCCAGCCGCCCCCAGGACCCCCCTGAACCTGTACCCTGTCACAGCCCACTCGGGTGCCCCCCAGGAGGCACAGACACCGGCCCCAAAGAATGGTGAGTCCTTCCTGGGTGGTCCTGGACATGCAAGGGAGGGGGGCACCAGCCAGGTGGAGGTGCCCGGAAAAACACAAGAAAGTGGGGTGATGAGAACTAGAATGGCAGACCCTCTGAGGGTCCCTTGGTGTGGCGCGGGTGTCCCCAGTGTCCCTTACCAGGGGACCATGCTGGTGGAGGGGAGCAGCCACAGGTGGTCCAAGACACAGAAGACAGCCCCAAGGGAATCATGCAGGTTCAGGAACTTACCCCTTGGCAGGGGGCTAGGGAATCCAGTTTCCAGCCCTGCTTGGTCCCTCATTCCCCGCTGTGGCCTGGGGCAAGTTACTTCCCCTCTCTTGGCCTCAGGCTTGGAAGCTGGTCTGATACGGCTGGTCTGGCTCCTTGGGGGCCTCTGCACTGGAGCCTCCGGTGGGAGGGGAGGTGGTCTGTGGCTATGGCCGCTCAAAGTTCACAACTGGGAGAGGAAGCTGTGTCTCCTGGGTGGTGGGGTGCAGTGACGGTGTGCCCCGGGGGGCAGTGGGTGGCTCAGCTGTAGCAATCACAAAGGGCGGAGGCGGGGAGACTGCACACGTCCAGTGGCATTGCTCATGGCGATGGTAACAGAAAGTCTGCAACCAGAGGGTCACTGCCTATTGAGGTTGAGGGCTGAAGCTCATTGTGACAAGGTTGGGGAGACTGTCACGATCATGGGTCTAGAGCCCGAGGTCCCTATAATGTCTGCAAAATTATTTGGTCTGGCCCTGCTGAGGCAACAGCATGTGGGATTCAAAATTCTGATCCATCTATAGCAGGCTAGTCTTTCAGTTGGTCTGTGGATGATGTTACCAATATCCAAATGGCCCCTGGCAGTGAGAACGGTGTCCCATCCCTGCCCCGGCTAGGCATGCTAAGAGGGAGCCAGAGCTGACCACGGGGAAGCCACTCCCACAGCTTCAGATCTTAGGATGAGGGCCCATGGCTGGCACAGAGACAAGGGTGCTTGGCAGCCACAGCAGGCAGCTGAGCAGGACAGAGGCAAAGAGAGAAGAGCACCTCCTTCCAGAAAGTCAAGGGAAAATTGGACATCCCTGGTCAAGGATCCCTCTGGCCAAGTCACAACCAAGCTTCCCTGTGGGGGTTCTGAGCTTGGAATGGGAGCTCTTCCAAGACAGAGTAAGACTCAGGAGCTCAGATGGGCAGACTATCATCAAAAGAACACAGGAAGTGACTCGCTGCTCGAGAGAACAGCAATCCTCTCAGGAAGCCGGGCAAAGTGCTGAGTCAACAGTCGGCTCAGCAGACGGTCTGGGAGGTGAGAGACACATCAAAGACGGTAGGAGAGAAAATGAATGGAGACCATCCAGGAGGCTGGGGGCTCCCTGTGGAGGTGGGGGGCCGGGAGGTGACTGAAGGCGTCAATGCAGCCGTGACCGTCAAGCCCTTTATGGAGCAGATGCACTCAGTTAAGGGTAGCTGCCACTGCCGGGCAGGGCAAACGCTGCTGGATTTACCAGTGCTGATAGGTGATGACTCAGCCTCGGGGACTCTGCAGGAGTTGCCGTGTGTAACTGTTGTTGAGTTGGTGGTGGTGGTCATTGACACTGGTGTTGCAGGTTGGTGATGGTCCTTGTGGGGGAGTTGTTGAGTTGGTGGTGGTGGTGGTGGTTATTGACACTGGTGTTGCAGGTTGGTGATGATGATGGTTCTTGTGGGGGAGTTGTTGAGTTGGTGGTGGTGGTGGTCATTGACATTGGTGTTGCAGGTTGGTGATGACGATGGCCCTTGTGGGGGAGTTGTTGAGTTGGTGGTGGTGGTGGTGGTCATTGACACTGGTGTTGCAGGTTGGTGATGATGATGGTCCTTGTGGGGGAGTTGTTGAGTTGGTGGTGGTGGTGGTCATTGACATTGGTGTGCAGGTTGGTGATGACGATGGCCCTTGTGGGGGAGTTGTTGAGTTGGTGGTGGTGGTGGTGGTCATTGACACTGG